GCACGAACCAGTGAGTAGATGAACTGCCTCCGGGGCTTCCCCGTGCCCCACACCGTCAGGGCCGAGCCCCTGCCTGCAAATTCGGGGAGGGGCGTGTCAGAGGCGGGGCAGTCGGCGCACACCTCCCCCAGCTGAGCCCCGGGGCCCATCGGGAGGGCGGGGCCTCGCGGGCAGCAGGCACTCACTCTTAGCCACGTGCACCTTGTGGATCAGGCCGGGCAGCACGTGGCCGTCCTCGATGTTGAAGTTGTCGTGGGGCCCGAAGACGTTGGTGGGGATGACGGCGGTGAAGGTGCAGCCATGCTGCTGGAAGTAGGCCCTGCAGAGCACAGCGTCCCTCCGGCCCTGCTCTCCGCCGCTCCCACCGCCCCGCCCCGGCCTCCTTGTGATGGAATAACCAGAGGCCAGCAGAGGAGGGAGAGGAGGCCTGGGAGCCCCACGGGTGACCCACTGGGCCCCCCTCCCTCAGGCCCTCTCCCCGATTCCTGGCGGGCCCCAGCTGGGCGGGTGGCGGGAGGACCTGTTCTGCACGTCGATCATCCTCTTGGCGTAGGAGTAGCCAAAGTTGCTGCTGTGCGGTGGCCCGTTGTGGATCTGGGGGGTGGTGGTGGGGTTAGAGGAGACGCTGCTTCCCGGCCACGCCCCGCCCTCACGCTCCGCCCCAGGCCCCGCCCCGCCCCGCCGGCGGTCTCACCATGGTCTCGTCGATAGGGTAGGTGGTCTTGTCAGGGAAGATGCAGGTGGACAGGCAGGACACCACCTTGCGAGCTCCCACCTCGAAGGCCGAGTGCAGGACGTTGTCGTTGATGTGCACATTTTTCCTCTGGGGGTGGGGGGGGCAGGTTCAGGCCCCTCCAGGCAGGACCCCAACCCCTACGTGCTCCTCCAGGGACAGAAGTGGGGACACACCCTGGCTCCTCCCACAGGGGCGGTGCCTGAGCCTGCTCGTCCTCCTGCCCCTCAGTCTGTGACATCCCGAGCTGTGGGTCCCACTCCCAGGCTGTGGGAGGGGCCTGGAGAGGACCCCACCCCTCAGCTCAGGACCGGGCCCCAGCTCCGGGGGCTGCTCAGGGCAGGGGCAGAAGGAGCTCAGTGGCCCAATCTCACCGACCCAGAGGCGCGCACCCCCTCTCCTGCCCAGGAGCAGTGAAGCCTTCGCTGTCCGCACCCTCCCAGGGCCCCACCTGCCCCCTGGGAATTGGACATGAGGTGGCCTGGCATTCGGACTGGCCCGGGGGGGAAGGGAGGGAGGGTGACTAGGCTGTAGAGAAGGCTGTGTCTGGAAGGAGGGCCCTGGCCGACGGGGGCCCAGGCAGAATCTGGTTGGAGCTTCTGCCATCCCAGTGCCGGCCGCCAGGCGGAACCACACCAAGGCCAACGCGCAGGCGCAGCCTGACAGCGCCCCATCCTCCTCCTGCCCTTACAGCACGCCCCATCCCCCCAGGAGCACATGCCACAGACCCGAGCCCAGCTCACACAGCTGCACCCGGCGGGCCGGGCCCCGTGCAGCTGGACAGAGACGTCCCCGGAGCAGGAGCATCTGGAAGCGCAAGTGGCAGGAACCAGCCCCGAGCCCCACAGCGGAGGCTGACTTCCTTCAGTTCCCCCGCCTGCTGGGCAGCTCCCCGGCTTTTCCTATTCGGCCAAGTGCCCCCAGACCCACCTGCATGCCCTCCGCCCACAGGCTGTGCCCAGCCCTGACCATGAGTGTGGGAAGCCAGCCAGGAAGTTCCCAGAAGCCGGCTCCTGGCTCCCGTGCTCACTGGGGCCCTTCACTCACCCAGAAGTCCAGGTTGTATTTAATGTTCCGGAACAGGCCCCCCACCATGGCAGCAAGATGGATGACGTGCGTGGGCCGGACCTTTTCGAACAGGGCTCGGGTCTGTGCAGCATCCCTGGGGAAAGCCGGGCTGTCAGCAGTCCCCTGAAGGCCCAGGGACTAGCCCTTGGGGTTGCGGAACTGGAGACGGGGCTGGGCAGGGCCCATGGCGGGATGGGCTGCCCCAAGGGAAGGCGGCCAGTTCAGGCCCTGCTGCTATGAGGGTGTGGGAGGATGTTTGCCTAGGAGCAGAGCTGTGCACACCCAGGCCACGCCTGCCACCTGGCGGGGAGGGTGCAGACACGAGGCCAGGAGGCTCGGGTGGGCCTGGCCCAGAGCTGTCGGGGAGGGCCTGGGGGGGCGGGTGCACCAGGGATGGGTCCACTCACGTGAGATCGGCATCCTTGGAGGAGACGAACACCCAGTCCTCGCCTGGCATCCTGGCCCCGTCTGCTACCACCTTCTGGATGGCTCTGCCCACCAGCCCAGAGCCCCCTGTCACCAGGATCCGCATGGACCCCTGGGGCTCACCCATGGCGCTGCACCTGCACAGCCAAAGGGTGTGAGGCTGAGGCCACCCTGCTTCCATCCGACCCAGCCCTAGGCTCCGGGGATGCTGCTGTTTAGGGTCATCTGTCCAAGGGCTGGCCCAGGACGCTGCCCCCAGGAGGGGAGAGACCCAGCTGGCTAAGGTCATCCCTCCTCCCCTCCAGCCAGGAGAGCCTGTCCCCCGTTCCACCTGTCCCAGGCCTCGGGGCCCCCCCCCCCCCAGTACCCTATCTTGGGGCCTGGAAATCGCTTGAGTCCCTACTGGAAGGCCTGAGCCCGCTGCAGGGCCCCCTGTCCAGCCCCGACAGGAGGGGCCCTGCCCAGACACCCGC